AGCTTAACTCTCAACAGCCTCTCCTAAGCTGCTTACTGGTTTAACTCCAAGCTTCAACCTCAAATAATTGAATCGATCTTTGGGCAGAGCTTTTGTAAAAATATCTGCCAACTGTTCTTCACTTCTGCAGAATTTTATATCAATCACCCCTTCTTGTACAGCTTCCCTTATGAAATGATACCTTTGGTTTATGTGCCTTGTTTTCTGATGGAAAACAGGATTTTTGACCATTGATATTGCTGACATGTTGTCACAAAACAATGGTGTTGCATCAGATTGCATTTCACCAAAATCATCCAACACAAACCTTAGCCAGATAGCTTGAGCTGTTGCCTCAGCTGCTGAAACGTATTCAGCTTCTGCAGTTGACAATGCAACTGTGTTTTGCTTGACTGAAGCCCATGAAAAAACTCCACTACCAAAACTGAATGCATATCCAGATGTGCTTCTACTGTCATCTTCACTGCCAGCCCAATCAGAGTCACAAAAGCCAACCAGAACAGCATTATTATCCCTTGTAAATTCAATGCCATAGCTGAGAGTGCCTTGAATGTATCTAAGAACCCTTTTTGCAATTCCCATGTGCTTCTTTGTGGGGCTGTGCATGAATCTTGATAACAAACTGGCTGCAAACATTATATCAGGCCTGGTTGCAGTCAGATACAACAGGCTGCCAACAATTTTTCTAAACAAACCTTCATCAGCCAAATCACTTCCATCAACTTTCTTTAATCTTTCACCAGTGGGTAGAGGAATTGTTACTGACTTACAATCCTCGAGACCAAATTTCACAAGCAAGGACTTTGCATACTTGCTTTGATGAATAAACACTCCATTTTCAGTTTGTAGAACTCCCATTCCCAAGAAATGATGTAGGAGTCCTAAATCAGTCATTTCATACTTTTGCATCATGTCCCTTTTAAACTCACTGAGCAAAGCATTACTGTTTCCAGTATAAACTATATCATCAACATATATAGAGACAATGATCAGTTTTCCTTCTTCATCAGTTCTGGTATATAAGGTGGCCTCACTGGTGCTTCTTTTAAAATTGCAGCTAGTTAGATAGGTGTCTATTTCACTGTACCAGGCTCTGGGAGCCTGCTTCAAACCATAGAGGGCCTTCTTTAATTTATAGACCTTGTGACTTGCTGTTTTCACTTCAAACCCCTCTGGTTGCTCAGTATAAACCTCCTCCTCAAGTACTCCATTCAAGAAGGCTGACTTAACATCTAATTGAAACAACTTCCAACCCTTTTGTGCTGCAAGTGCAATCAAAGTTCTAATTGTATCTAACCTTGCCACTGGGGCAAAGGTTTCATTATAATCAATACCAGGTTTCTGAGCATACCCTTTAGCTACAAGCCTAGCCTTGTGTTTTTGAACTGTTCCATCCAGATTCAACTTGGTTTTGAACACCCATTTGACTCCTATGACTGGTTTATCTGTAGGCCTTTCCACTAGCTCCCAAGTTCCATTCTTTTCAATGGTTTCAATCTCAGCATCCATTGCTTCCTTCCATGCTTTGTCTTCTACAGCTTCATAATAAGTTTCAGGTTCAATAATGGTCATGTGACATCTTGCATAAATGTCCTCCAAACTTCTCAGCTTTACTGGTGTATTGCTTGGAGTTGACCCTTGACTGGTGCCACTGCCATTTCTTCCAGAGACATGTTCATCATCTGAGATTAATTGATTCAGATTTGGTGAATCAATGCTATGAATTTCATGAGAGGCTTCTTCTGTTTCAGCTATCTCAGAATTTCCATTTTCAAAGATGAAAGGCACAGAAACAGTTTCATCTTGCTTGCTTTCCCAATTCCAGGATTTGTTCTCATCAAAAACAACACTTCTAGAGAGTATAATCTTCTCAGTTTGAAGATTATAGACCCTGTAACCCTTCTCACAGCTGCCATAACCCATAAAAATTCCTTTGCTTGCTTTGTCATCAAACTTCTGTCTAAGGTTTGATGGAATGTGACTGTAACATATACTTCCAAACACTCTCAGGTGTTTTGCACCTGGTTTCCTTCATGTGAAAGCTTCAAATGGAGTTTTGTCTGAAACTGAAGTAGTATAGCACCTGTTTTGCAGATACACAGCAGTACCAACTGCTTCAGCCCAGAACTTTACAGGGATTTTCTTCTCAGTCATCATTGATCTTGCCATTTCACAGATGGTTCTGTTTCTTCTCTCAGCAACCCCATTTTGCTGAGGTGAGTAGGCAATAGTCAGTTGCCTCTCCATGCCAAGATCACTGCAAAACTCAAGGAATTCATGTGAAGTGTACTCTCCACCTCTGTCACTTCTTAGTTTCTTTAAGTTGAATCCACTTGTAGCCCAATAAATGCTTTGAACTTTTTGAACACACTTATCACACTTGACTTGTTTCTGAGAAAATATACCCAACACATTCTTGAATAGTCATCAATGAATGTGATGAAGTATCTATTTCCTCCAATGGACTCATTTTGCATTGGACCACATACATCCGTGTGTATCAACTCAAGTGGATGCTTAGCTCTCCAAGACTTCTCATTTTCAAATGGTTCTCTGCGGCTTTTACCATACACACAGCCTTCACATACTCCTTCTTTTT